ATATCCCTCATCAATCGTGACGGCTTTTTGTTTTTTTTTTTTTTTTTTTGTTTATGGTTGTGAATTTCAGATTGTAGATGGTGTTGGTGGTGTGGCGGTAAGGTGGCGGTTGGGTGTGTGTATGTGTGTGATGTGGGTGTGTGTGTGTGCAATGGAGTTGTAGTGGTAGTGTTGATGCTGGTTGTGGTGGCGGTGCGAGATTTTTGGTTTTTTTTTGTTTATGTTTTTAAGTTTCGGATTGGAGACGGTGTTGGTGGTGGGGCGATAAGGTGGCGGTTGGGTGTTGGTGGTTGTGAAATTGCCTGCGGGTGGTGGTGTTTTGTACGACGACGATTTTTTGGTTGTAACTGTGGTGTCGGATCCGGTGGTTTTTGGTGGTGGTGATGTTGGTTGTGGTGGTTGTCGTGAGGCGGTGGTAGTGGTCGTGGCGATAGTGCAGAGGTGGTGGTGGTAGATCTGATGATTTTGATTATCTGTGACAAAAAATATAATCTGTGATCTTAAAATTAGGTAATTCGTGAATAAAAATATTATCTGTGACCAACCATTTGTTATCTGTGACCTAAAAATTATATAATCTGTGATCGTAAAAAATATGTGACCAACTAATTTGGAAATATGTGACCGTGTGACCTATAAATTTTGATCTGTGACCAACTAATTTTGGAATCTGTGACCAACGAATTAAATGTAACCTATAAAATTTTTGAACTGTGACCGTAAAATAATCTGTCACGTATAAAAATTATCATTTGTGACTGAAAAATAATATATAACTAATTAAATTATAAATCTGTGACCAGAATGATTGTCGGAATAGTCGTCGGAATCGGAGCAGTCGTCGGAGAAGAGTGGTGGTCNTTTTGAATTGGTGTAAATTAAACACATTATTTATGAATTTTTCCCTAATGCATATAAGAAATAGAGGAAATTACAGCCAAAAAGGTTTTTAAATGTCCATTTTCATAAATTAGGAATCAAGTTTAATTATACAGAAATCAGGTTTTAATTAATAATTCATATTGAAATATTATAAATTAATATTTTAATAATAATAATAACAATATATTAATCTATATATACACCCCACACATTCAAACCTTAAATTAAATTATAAATCAAACATTGCCTCCATTCTGTCCACAGTTACCGTCTTTAATCCTCCTCTCTCCTCAACCACTGCCCCACCATCGCGCTCCCTTCTCCTTCTCTCTTCATCGGACTGCTACGAAGACGCCGCCGTCACCACCACCCCCAAGACGCCACTATTGAGCGGGGCAATTTGAAAGTCGCAGAGTGAAGCGATGTTGGCTCCGTCTCTTCTTCGATTCTTCTTTTCTTTTGTTTTAAGTGGTGTGGTGATGACAGTTCGATGGTAGAGGTGTGCGGTGCGATGATGGGTGCTGGGGTGATCTACACGGTGGTGCTATAGATGTGATGGTGACTGAATCGTGTGGTGTTGTAGAATGCCTGATTTGGGTGATTTTTGTTTGTTGTAGATATGGTGGTTTCCATGGCGTGATGTTGTAGATGTGCACGATGGTGCTGTAGAATGCCTGATTTAGGTAAATTTTGTTTGTTATGGATGTGGTGGTTTCCATGGCGTGGTGCTGTAGATGTGGTGTTGTAAATCGTGTGGTGCTATAGATGTGCACGATGGTGCTGTAGAACACCTGATTTGGGTGAATTTTGTTTGTTGTTGGTGGTGGTTTCCATGGCGTGGTGATGTTTGGATGCTTTTAGTGGCGGTGGATCGGGCTGCTGATGGTGGATCTAGTGCTGATGGTGATGGATTTGGCCGTGACGATGGTTCTCTACGTTCTGATTTGGTGGTTGTGCTGTGGAGGTGAGGAGGTGGTGTTGGCAGTGGTGGTTCCGATGGTGGTTTGGGCTGTTGCAACAGTGTGGTAGTGGTCAAAAGTGATTCGGTTGACTGTGACCAATAAATTGATTGGTGTGTACCAATAAATACTGTATGACCTACCAATTTTTTAATTTGTGACTAAGAAGAGTAATCTGTGACCTATAATATGATGTCTCGTGACCATAAAATAAGTTGTGTGACTTATGAATTTTGTTATTTGTGACCGATGTACAAATTGTGACTTTTAAATTTTTAATTTGTGATTGATGAACGAACTGTGACCTATAAAATTTTTGAATCGTGACCTTAAAATTTTTGAATTGTGACCCAATTGTATAGATCTTTGGCATTTATATATTTATTAATAAAACATATAATTAATTAATTCATAAATGAATAAATAAATTTTAATAAAAACCTTATTTTTGAAATTTAAAACATCTATCATTAATTTTAAAATGATGGTACTTAAAAACCTGATTTATATATTGTTTCCTAATAAATATTTCATAGATTAAGTATCACCTATTTCAAAATTAAGAACAAATATTTCAAATTTTAAAAATATATTAATTAAAATTTATTTATAATTTAATTTAATTAATTAAATATATTACGGTCACAAATTTATACATTTTGATCACAAATGAATGATTTAATTTATCACATAATATTTTTCGATCACAAATCAAAAATTTCATGTCACAATTCGAAAATTTTATAAGTCACAAATTTGTTCATCGGTCACAAATAAAAAATTTATATGTCACAATTTATTTATCGATCACAAATTATAAGTTGCAACTTATGAGACAGTCACAAATTTTCAAAATAGCGGTAACAAATTAAAATTGTTTAGATCACACATTATTTATTGGTTATAATTTATCTTTTTCATTACTCACGTATTGTTTATTGGACACAGATTAGACAATTTAATGGTCACAATCAACCAAATAATTTGTGACCACCACATCACCACTAGCTATGACAACGGGGCGAGCCCCACATTAGATGGGGCGGGGCGGGGCGGGGCGGGTACAGGGCGAGGGCCTGCCCCATTTCCTACCCTTTTTTTAATATATTTTCAGTTAAAATAAAAATTCAAAATTTTAAAATCCAAAACAAATACTATTCAAACCAACTACATCAATATTCAAAGCAAGCACTCGAAACAAACAATGTCCAAAACAAATTTTTTTTACTCTTCACGGGACGAGGCGGGAAAAATTGTCAACCCTAATCAAAGCAGCACAACCGTCATTGCCAGAACTACCACCTCTCTACAGTTCACCATCTCAAACAAATCAACACATTACAGAAAAAACCACTACATCGTCCCGTCATCCACCACCACCTCGACCGACCCATCGCCATCAACATCTCACCATTACCTCCGCCTCCAGTAGCACAACCACCAATGCCGCCTGTACCACCACCACCACCATCACTTCCACCATCTCCTCAAATCATTACTGTCAATGCCTCCACCACCACGACCACTATAACCACCATCTACACTCTTCACCACAGTGGCCTCCATCTCTACCACACCACCACTACCACCAACCAAAAAATTCCCAAACCTACCATCATCGTTGCCATCGTCGCTAACATGACCACAACCAACACTGTTACCACAATCACCACCAATCCACGACCACAACCACCACCACAACTACCATCTCATCTATCTTCATCTTCATCTTCATCTTCACCTTCACCACACCTTAACCACCAACCCCACTAAAAAATCCCCAAATCGCCACCACCACGATCTCCACAAATCCACAACACCACAACCACAAATCCACCACACCGGCAGCGCTAGCCCATCATTCGCCACAGCAGCAGCGATGCTTAAGCATTTCACATGAACATCGTCGCTAAGCGCATTGCATAGCAGTCGTTGTTGAAACGTCTCACATCAACAGTGCAACGACGAAGACATTGCACTGCAAGGACGGCGGAGTCATCGTAGCGATGACATATGTAGTGGTCTCCGACGAACGTTTCTGGTGGTTGGGATAAAGAAATGAAAGAGAGAAATAAGAAGTTAGAGAGAGAGAGAGAAGAGATAAGGTAGACTGTAAATAGAGAGATTATTAGGTGGTTGGATTGGGTGGTTATATATGTATATTAATTTGATTTTGTAATATAATTATTAATCCTAAAATTTTGAATTAATATCTGATTTTTGAATAAACAAACTTTAAATCTGATTTTTGAAATTGAATCTTAAAAAACCTGGTTGGTTGTAATTTCTACTATAAGAATTACATTTCAAAAATAATAAATTTGTCAAATTATTTTAAAGTTCCAGTGATATATATATATATATATATATATAATTAATTGGAATTAATTGTCTCCACCCGATTCACAATATTCCCACCCCAACCAAATTAATAATAGATCAATTAATAATATCCCCACTGACCCCACCCCATATGTAAAAAAAATTCAGAAATTGAAAACATTTTTTGGAGATTACACCCCACCTCGGAACCACCCCTATCGACCTCTTTACCCTACCGCACCCATACCCAGAAAATTTCAAGTCACCGACGTGTGTTATTTGTGATTAATTGTAATCAAATTTGTTTTCAGCTTGACTGACTATGATCATGTGAATCTTAACTGTGACGGTA